CAGTCTCTCCAGCGCCATTGCTAACAATCTTAACAACACTCTGTACTACTTCGTTATCAGTTACCTTTTTGCTACTGCTGGAGTATTACAGCGGCAGTCCTTTAGTTAGCCTTTGCTGCAGCTAGCAGCAAAGATATTTAGAGCTTTCATGTTCTTCTTTTTCTAGACTGTAAGGCCCAAGAGTCCTGCTTCTGTTTCTTGTTATGCATCACAATGCCTGGCACTGTGGATCCCTAGGGAATAATTGAAGGGAGGAAGAAAGGAACGAAAACCTGTGGTCAAGTTGTTATTTTATGTGTGAGGTCACTTCTTAGTGTGCATGGAATGATCATTGTAATTTCTTTTGGGTAAACCACAATAAAATTAATGAATGGTTATAGGAACCTGACAGTCTGGGCATCCTGCCTTTAGTGCATTAATGAGCACCCTGTTCGTTTTATTCTTTTAGGTAAAGTTTCAGCTTGAAACTGTTGTTCTGGGACACAGGTGTTCTAAGTAGCTGATCCATGTTGCCCTTCCTTATCCCTCTGCTCCAGGAGCAGTACCCATGTATGGTGGTGTCTGGAAGCAGGGGCACCTGTGATCCGGGAACCAGGCATTCGATATTGGCCCACAGGCTTCCACAGCTTGTGCTGAAGGGAGAAAAATGTGCCCCTCCCCCAGAGAAGTGGCTTCCTGTGGAATCTGGGGTGGGAAGAGAAGAACTATAGTGTGATTTTATTTGGGAAGCACAAATTGAACTAGATGAGCTTTTTTAAAAGGACCAAAGAGGAGCTAGAGAGATGGCTCAGTGGTTAAGAGCACTGGCTGCTCTTGCAGAGGACTGGGTTCTATTCTAAGCACCCACATTGCAGCTAACAACCGTCCGTAACTCCAGTTCCAAAGAATTTGATGCCCTCTTCTGACCTCCTGGGGCATTTCACAGCACAGGTGCACTTATAGGCAATACACTCATACACATAAATATAAATCAATAAAATATTTTTAAAAATTTTTTAAATAGAGGACACAAAGTTGGGGGTAGGGAGGTGGGGGTGCATTTGAGGGTGAACGGGGGAGGTTTGAATATGATCAAGATACATTGTTTGAAATTCTCAAAGAATAAAAATTACATACACACACACACACACACACACGCAGGACCCAGCAGGGGAGGAGCAGATAGGCTATGGGATGTTACAGCAAATTTCTTGCCAGCGTGGTAGCAGCTGGGAATTTCAGCTCACCCTGATGTTGGCTTTGGCAGTCCTGGCTGGCAGAGACCCCTGGGGTGGCCACCATTATTTCCCCAGAGTCAGTAGTTCCAATGACTTCTAGTCAGGTAGTTTAGATTTTCTCTGGAAGCCTGACAGCAATGAAGGGGTCTCAATTCTATAGTCTCCCAGTTGCTTACAGTCTTCGGGGAACAAAGGGATGAGCAAAGGAAATAGTGACTGGAATTGAATGGTGTCTTTTTGAATTGTAAACTATTTATTGGAATCTGCCTGCATTCTCTTAGTCTATAATTGTGTGTTCTTGTTCTTGTCTTCTCTCATTGCCTAGTAATGAAGGTAGCTCTTGTTTCGCATCAGGTGCTGTGCTGAATTCCCTTTACTGTATCACAACAAACTACAATCCAGGCTTTATCACCATCAGCTCACACTTCATTGTGCACAGAGGTCTAGTGGATTCCTTTAATCTGTAATGATTTGTAGTTACAGAGAGTAGAGCTTGGGGGAGCTGGCAGAGAGCCACTCAGAGTATGGACTGTCAGACGTGATGACTCAGGCCACCTGATGGAATCTTGTCAAGGTGGATTGGGGATCCGAAGGGCACAGGGGCTGAGGAAGGCCTTTGAACCTTCTCTTCTGAAGAAAGGAAACCCAGGTTGTGGGAGGCATGGTCTAGTCTTCTCTTTTCTCTTATGATTTTGAGTGTCTGAAGAAAACAAAGCATATACTGTCTTGAGAGATGCTGTGTCAACTTGACTCCACAGCTTGCATTTTACATTGGTGTGTCAGGACGGCTGTGTGGAGATCAGAAGACAACTTCTGGTGTTATTCCCCGCTGTCCACCTTGTTTGAGGGTCTCCCATTGATCACCGCTGCACATGCCTGGGTAGCTTGCCCATGAGCCTCCAGGGAGTCTCCTGTTTCAGCCTCCCATGTTGCTGTGGGCACTGTGATGACAGATGTGTGTAACTGTGCCTGGCTTTATGTGGGTTCTAGAGATCTGAACTCAGGGCCTCATGCTTGCATGGCAAGCACTTTACCCACTGAACCATCTCCCCAGCCCCATAGTTTGGACTTAACACTGAACTTGGCTTACTTTTTCAGGGGTGAGTAAATCATACTTTTTGTAATTTTACTTGACAGACCAGAAAAGCAGTTGCTCTCTTGGTGGAATAATAAATGATAGAGTTTTGCTTTAAACATGCAAGAAGTTACAAAAACTAAGACTAATTTAAGATTTCTATTTCTTATAATACATACCTGAAATCAGTAACTATAGATACTTTTGTCTCCCTCCAGAAGTAGTAATTTTTATTTATAGGAATTTGACATCTTTATATATTCTTAAGTATTATTTATGGTTTTTTGAGACCGGGTCTCACTCTGTATGTAGCCCAGGCTGGCCTGGAACTCACTATGGAGACCAGGCCGGCCTCAAACTCTTGGCAGTCTTCCTGTCCCAGCTTCCCTGATTGCTGGTATTTCAGGGGTGCACCATCTCACCTGGCCTGTGTGTGTATACAGTGTAAATAAGTGCATTTTTGTAGTTAAGCCTTCATGTGGCACCTCTAGATGTATGTAAATGGTGATTATTTTTAGATGGAGTGTACTGTGTGTTACAGTTTGGATTATAGGAACTCTAAAATGTGACATGAAAGGGTGATGACAGGTACCTGCAAACACATCAAGGGGGAAAGCAATGGTGAGTGCAGTGAGAAGTGACCCGTGGACTAGTGACGAAAGCGCGTGCTCAGGTCCTTGTCTTACTACAATGTTTGGGTTTTAACAGCTGCTGGTTTAAACTAATAGAAGCTAAATAGCCATAATAATTTGAATGTTCACTCTGTTTATGGATTATTTCTCAATAGGAACCCAGAATCTCTTAAATGATCTCAACACACTGTTATTAAAATGAAAAGGTAGATCTGTGTGTGAATGTGAAAGTCAAAGGCCCTCCTGTTCTCCCTGTGTCTGTGGTAGGAAAGTATAAAATTACCTCTGAAGCTTAGTGAGCAGTAGTTTTAGGAGTTTTAAACTTTTAGATCTCATGAATATAATTTGTGAAAATGTGTAAGTATGCCGGACTGAAAAGTTTAATTTGTGTTATAAATAGTATTGTATGAGTATTTAGGTAGAATAAGAAGTCAATTATTTTGGAAACAGATGTTGTCATACAAACAATGAACAACATTAATAATGTCATTTTTAGGTGTCATTTAAGTGGAAGGTTCTTCAGTGGTTACGTAACAGCAACACTCTGACCATTTACTGATTTTACTCTGTGGACTTGAAACCAAACTGCACCTCAAAGAACTGTCCACATTTTAAATATTAAAATTCTAAATTTAGGATCTGGAGCTAGAGCTTAGTTGGTATATTTTTTAGCTTGGAAGGACTTGAGTTTGATCCCCCAGAACCCACATAAAAAGCTGGACATGAAAAGCTGCATGTGAAGCCAGGCATGGTGGTGCACATGCTTAATCCCAGCACTGGGAGGCAGAGGCAGGTGAATTTCTGATATTGAGGCTAGCCTGGTCTATATACTGAGTTTCAGGCCAGCCATGGGTACAGGGAGATCCTGTCTCAAAGAACAGCAGCAGCAAAAAGCTGGGTGTGGTGGCTCATGCCTGTAACCTGAGCTGTGGGGAGACAGAGACAGGAGAATTCCCAAGGCTTGCTAGCCAGCCCGCCCAACAGTGAGTCCCAGGGAGAGACACTGTCTCAGAAAACAGTGTGGATGGTTCCTGAGGAACAACACCAAAGTTGATCTCTGGCCTCCACACACATGCACACAAATATGGGCGCACATACACAAGAGAACATGCACATACACACAGAATCTTAAAAAACAACAACAAAACTTAAACTCTCAATTTAAATATTTCCTAATTATTGGATAATTTCTTCAATTAGTTGAAAGAGAAATGTCCTCCTGTAATCACAGTTAGTAATACCAGTTTTAAAACTGATCAGTGAAAGATACAAAGGACTGTAATCTTAGTTGCTTTGAAGCAAATCACATGTATTGTAACTAACCATTTTAAAATATGTCTAAGTAGTACAGACACATAACCTAAGGTATGGCAGCTTGGGGAGACAGAGGCAGGTGGATAGTCAGGGCTACATAGTTTCAAACAGTGACAGCAAGCATGTGGAACCAAATTAGTTTTTTTTAAATGATATAACAGGGAAAATGCAACATAACTTGAATTTTTCTCTCCCTTTTTTGTGCACTGCACCAGATATCTTGGGGAGATATCAACAAATCTCCAAATACCCACCCTTGAAGGGGCTGGTCTCAAACTCACTGGTGTATCCAAGGATGACTCTGAACTTCTGATCTTCTTGCTGCCACCTCCTGAGTGGGACCGTAGACCTGGGCCTCCACGGCCAGTTCAGAATGAGAATTTCTGTTGGGCCACCATACCTAGTGTAGTGTATATGGTGGGGATGGAAGCCAGAGCTTCTCATGGTAGGCAAGCGCTCTGCCAGCTGAGCTGCAGCCTCAGCCCAAGAACTGTTCTTAAATCTCCAGAAACCTTAAAAAGAATATGGGCATAAATGCCAAGGGATATGCAGAATCAAAGGGTCTGAGACACGAAAGGGAGGAGAAGTGTAAGTGCAAGTTGCCAGAAAGAAGGATGCTGAGAAGAAATGAGGCCTTTTGGTTGGTTACCAGCCCTTTATTCTGGTTTTGAGCCAAGGACATTTCAATCTTAGTTCTGGTAAAGAATCCCTGTGGTATTTCCCTGTGATAAATAACATGTGCTGTCTTCCCTTTGTTCGCAGGCATACTTCCGACAGGGTGTTGCCCTCCAGTACCTTGGCCGGCATGCCGATGCCCTGGCAGCCTTTGCATCTGGCCTGGCTCAAGACCCCAAGAGTCTCCAGCTTTTGGTGGGGATGGTAGAGGCCGCCATGAAATCTCCCATGAGAGGTCAGTAGGAGGACGTTCTTCTGACTTGAATCAAAAGTAGACCACTTCCAGCCTTCTTGTACTTAAGCCTCAGGCATAGGGCATTGATATTTGCTAAGAGCAAATATTTTAGAGAAGATGAGACTCACCATTGGTACTTGATGCTGAGGCAGAAGGTCTGCTCTGGGCATCTGTGGGCTATTGATGAACTACTACCATGGACAGATGAGATCACTTCTCTGTATTTTAGGATTATTTAAATAATCCTAAAAAACATTTAAAACATTTAAAAATGTTTTTAAGATTCTATAATTCTAAACCACAAAACATCTAACAATTAAATTGATTTTTCTTGGATGGACAAATATGCTTTTTAGAAATAAATAAAATACATTAAATCTTCCTTCTGTCTTCTTTCCCTTCTGTCACGAGTAGGACTAGAGGATGTGTGAGTTAAGAGTATCTTAGTCCTTGCTGTCCCCTATAACAACAGAGGAGCCATGGCCAAATAGGTTTTAATATTTATTAGCACGAGAATGATGAACACGATAGATAACGCAGTCACAAACAAGCCAATTTGGGTAGTCATCAATTTAGCAGTTTAGTTCAATCGTAAGCTCCACTCCGTCTATTGCTATCTCTCCCGGGGACTTCACCAGTCACAAATTCCAGTGGTGAGTGTAGCTCGTGGTCAGTGCAGGTTCGATGGTGTGACGCCTCTTAGGCCTCGGTGATGGGGAGAGTTCGGAGACCCGACACGGTCCTGCCTGGAGGTGGAGAGGATCTTTGGGCAGCAGCTCTTCTTGCCTTAGGCAGATGCACTCTGAGGACTAGCCTCTGAGCCTCTGCTTATATTGAGAGTTTGACATCATTGCTGATGTAGTCTCTCAATAAGCAGCTGTCGATTAGTTCGATAAGCAGGTCCCCCAGGTGCTTATCACTAGCTGACATGCCTAAGTTTCTATTCCTAAGTTCATTTCACAATTCATAATTTCACACGTTTCATAATTTCATAATTCTTATAGATTATTCAATAATCACACATTCTAAAGCAATTCCACCTTGTTCATGTACTCTATTACAGAATTTACATTTCTGCTCCTGACACCTTCCCTTCCTCCCTCCCTCCTTCCTTCCCTCCCTCCCTTTTTTCTTCCTGGCAAGAGCTCATTCTGTAGCCCAGGCTGACCTAAGACTCACTATGTAGTCCAGGCTAGCCTGACACTTGAGGCATCCTCCTGACTCAGCTTCTTGATTGCTGGGATTATGGGTGTGAGCCCTGTGTTCTACTTCTTAAGACAAAATGTGTGAATAACCATCAGCAGCATTTACATTTTTCAGAGGAACATTAAGAGATTATATTGAATCAAAAAGAGAGAAAAATGAAACGGAGATTCTATTTCTTTTCTCTGTTGCTTTATTCCAACTGGTATTCTGAAAAACAAGGGAATGGATTGAAAATGCTACTGTGGATATTGGATGAGATCTAAGCTCCCTCTGCCCCAACAGCTTGGCTTCATTTTGTAGAACAGTGATTTGATTTTATTCTTTCCTGTGATGCTAGAGGTCAAACCCAGGGTCTGAAGAGTACCAAGCAAGCACTCTGTCACTCAGTGACCTTCACCCCCAGCCTGAGAATGTTGATTGTTTTGAAGAATGAGCCCTTGGGAATTTTGACCCAATGCATGGACCCATTGTCACCGTTGGCTGGTGATGGAGTGTCTAAGGCAGATTCATGGTGTGCGGAGGAGACCAATGCTGTCTCACTTTCATTGGGTTGTCAAGCAGAACTCTGGTTTTTGCCTCTGAAATAGTCTTTGTTTTAATTGTCTGTGAAAATGAATCTAACAGTCTCAATGATGGTGTCGTTCGACATTATATCTAGTTTTGAAATGTTTGCAGCATTAGGTAGCTTTAATTTACTGCCTCATATTGAACTTGGCTCCAAGTATGTGCTAAATGAGAGTTTGAGGATCTGAGAGGTACTCAGATGGTCTCTAGGCAATCCATAGCTATAAAAGATACTTTCTTGAAAGTTAGAGATTTCATTAAAAAAAAGAGGTACGAAAACCTCTTCATGCAATGTTGTAGGCCATGCAAAGCCACACCTGTACTGCAGGGACCCATGGCTTCTCCCACAGAGGGACCTTGCTGTTAATAAACTCTGACTCAGAGTAGATGTGCCATGGAGCTCCAGGGCTTGCAGGGAAATAGACACAAAAAAACAGCCTGTCTTCCTTTCCATTTTCTCCCGACACCCTTCCACAAAGAAGATACACAGTGTTTTTATTCAGTTCAGAGATATCACCTGTCTATTCCGAGGCATTTCTGCTGCTGCCTTAGAATATAAGATGAACAGTTCATATCAGCAGAATTACATTTACCATTTTGTCTTTGAAGCAATTTGTTTAGAAAAATGTACAGATGTCTTCCCTGTACTGAGAGAACAGCTCAGAGCCGCCGCCATCCTCAGGGTTTTCTTCTGTGCCGTGTTCGCTCCCATCTTACGGTGAGTGACCCAAGACTGACCCTGGAGAACACTGCTTTGCACAGGTGCCTGGAGCACGTCAATATTTTCTTCTTTCCCCTCAAGGCAATTTAATATAGCTGGTTTATTTTTAGCCTGGCCTTTACCACTGCTCTACTCCAGGTGGGCCTCTCCTGAGCACGTTTTGGAGGTACTTTTGCTTTGCACAGCGCTCCTGCATCCATCCTGATGGCCTGGTTTCTGATCACATGGTAGCAATTCATAGAACCTGTCATGATTTGCTGCTCATTTTTCACCCACTGTTTATGTTAGCCTCCTGCATCTTCCCAAATTTCAGACATCGGGGCCTAGTTGAGTGGGCTGGACCCTCACAGATAGGTCTGATCTGTTGTGTCCTTTGGTTTTGTTTTGTAGTTCTTTTGTTTGTTTGAGTCAGGCTCATGCAGCCCAGGCTGGTCTCTGGGTCACAGCGTGGCTTAGGCTGGCTTTGAACTCCTGATCCTCCTGTGTCTAGCTCCCAAATGCTGGTATTATAGGCATGAGCCAGTATGCCTGGCTTGATTTGTAGTTCTCAAATGCAACAGAGAAAACTCCTTAAACCAGGTACTTATGTAAAACAGACCAAACTCCCATGACTTGACAGGATTCCTACAGTTTGTTCTTTTTGAAAAAGATGTCATCTTAGGGCTGGGGATGTGGCTCAGAGCTAGAACAAGCTTGTCTAACCTGGGCAAAGCCCTAGGTTCAATCCCTAGTACTACAAAGGAAAGGAATTCACTTTTAAAGGCAAGGCCAGTCCATATTAATATACTTTAATGCCTATATAAATATATTTATCTTTAGTAAGACTAATTTGATTTTTTATTATTGTTCCCTATACTTCTAATTGAACTGCCTGATTTATTTTATTTTCATAATTTCACTCATGCTCGCAAACCAAATATCAATTAAACTATTTCTCCTGTGGCTGTAGCTACATTACCATGTAGGATACATGTAATTAACAAACATGTAAGATGGATAGATATGAACTGAGAGGGTTTCAGTGTCACAACCTTCCTTTGTTATCTTGGCTGTTTTCCACTTCTTTTCAGTCAGTCTTGCAGCAATTTCAGCTTATTGTGTTTTGTAAATGTTTAAGTAGATTTGGATGCTGTACCACACGCTACTGCCAGCCGTGAACTTGATAATACAATTAGGAAGTGAGACTGAATTTACCTTTATTTGTCTCTGAAGATGCCAGGGCCACTTCTTGCTGAGGATCCATCCTCTTGTGTATCTTTTCCTTCTATTAATTCAGCAATCTAAAGACTATTATGTTTATGGGCCGTCGCCTGTTGTGTTTCTATCATCTCTGGAAGGATCCAAGGAGGCTGCTTTTATCAAGCACCTATGGACAATGGCTGGTGAACATTTGAGCTTTTCCCTCACCAGCAGTGGGGCTCCCCTGTGTTAGTCTGTGCCTGGCCTCTGCAACACCCTCACTTCTCATTCTCTTTTAGGGACAGGCAGTTTTCACAGGAGGCCTGTTTGGAAATGTTAGAAGCAGGCTTTCCCCATGAGAATGGAATATGAGTCCAGCACTGCCATTTGCTAATTCTTTGACCTAGTGAGGTGGCTTGTTTCCCCTACACCCAGCCTCCCTCTGTCGGAGGATGTGTTGATGCCCACCCCCCCAATACTCTGAGAGCCATACGTGGAAGTGAAGCAGGCCCTGCAAAGTCCTTCTGGAAGGTGGGCCCTTCTCCTGGAGGATCCCAGCCCCGATCCCACTCTCATGTTTCTGGCAGCCATGGTACTGAGGCTGGGAACAGGTACTTCACAGTCCCCAGGGTCCTCTTCATGAGCCCTTATAGAAGAATCTCTAAAGCCTCACTTTCATCCTCATCTCTACCACTTCTGGATGTCCCTGGACAGCACTATGGTTTCTAGTATCTCCAGTTTCTATTTGATGCCACTTCCTCTGTGAAGCCTCCCCACCTTTACCCACAGGGGTCCCAAAACTTAGCCAACTGCCCTAACAGCTGGCTGGGAGCTACCCCATCAGTTTATAGGTTATTAAGAGATCCCAAGACCCTGATGAGTAGATGCTCACAAAGGCCTTCTCCTCACTTGTTATGTATATCTATTGAAAGGCCTGGTTAGGTGGAGAAGCAACCGGCTATTATGAGGCATCACTGAGTTTAAGATGCAAAATCTCTAATGAGTAGTGTTCATGGGAGAGGTGTGCATCTCCGAGCTAGTGAGGTGTTGGTATCTCTTTACAGAGGGTGATTGTTTATTACTAGCCTCTCCTGCATCCTCACATGCTCCTCAAGTGTCAAGAAATGTGACTTTATTCATCTTAAATTCTTAAAGACTTTACATTTCAAAAACCCATAACTGCTGATCAGTTAGTGTTGCAAAGGGTCTCTATGTTCTTACGGATTGCTATGACATAGCTATTTCATGTATTATGCATAAATTCTAGGAAGAAAACCATCTGAATAGCTATAGGCTGCCAAAATTCTGTTCTGTCCAGTCTGCTAAAAATCACAAAATTGGTCCCTTTGTTAAATAGAGCAAGTTGACCCTAGAACAGAACTAGAATGGTGGAGCAGGAAAGGATCTTGAGATTATCTGTGGATTAAACAACCTCAGTTGGCTAGATATGGTGGCATGTGTCTCTAATCCTGGCTACATGGGATGCTAAGGTGAAGGGATTAGTCAAGTTGAGGAGTTTGAGACCAGCTTTGGCAGTGATAGGTAGGAATGTTGGAGAGAGCGAGTGGGTGGTGGAGAGCACGAGTGGATGGATGAGGCACCGAGGCACAGATGGAATTCTCAGAGGGATACAGCTTTATTTCGCACGGGGCACCTTTCCCTCGGGGAAGGGAAAGATGTCAGCGAAGGGAAAGATGTCAGGGAAGGGAAGGGAAGGGAAGGGAAGGGTAAGATGTCAGGGAAGGGGAAAGATGTCAGAGAAAGATGTCCACCCACGGGTTGTGAGCTAAGAAAACAGGGAGGGGGAAGCAGGAAAAGCAGGTAGGATTAGGGTCTGGTAGTGTTTACTTTTTCCCTCTTAAGATGAGAGAAAAACAGCTTCTAAAATCTCTGGTTATCAGGTAGAATCTGCTTATATTGTCTTTGGAGGTCAGAGGAAAAGCAGGCTGCTTCTCAGCAGAGTTTGTTCTTCTTGACCTCAAAGGTCAAGGTGCTTATCAGCTAAGTTCCCTTTTCCAGGCTCCAAAGTCTGTAGGTCCCTGTTGGGGAGGGGGGGAGCTGCTGCTATTTGGAACCCTAACAGGCAGCATAGTGAAAACCCTACCTCAAAAACACCAACACTAAAACCCACAAGACCAACTGCTATGAAAACTTCTTAGTGACCCGTGAGACATACTTATAACTCAAAGCAGAGAAATTTGACATTAAAATGAAACTTACACACAGCAGAGTGGACATCCTGTGCAACTTGCTGTACACAGGCAGAGATGTACACATACACATACTCATACCCATACACACACGTATACACACATATATGAATAACCACGCACATGTGCGAATGTGTAGATTTGTGTGATGGTTGCCGCAGTCACAGGCTCTATATCTGGCGGTGTGAACAGAGCGGCTGTGTGGTTTTAAGTACAGATTTGTTTTTTATCCCTAGCTCAGTTTTCCCCCATTATTTCACATCAGCTCTGTCCCTACATATGTTCTCTGGTCAACTCAAGCTGGCCTGTTAGCAACCTCTGTCATTCTTGCATCTGTCCTGGCTCCTCAGTTTAAGACAACCCTTCCTCCTCAAATGTCTTCCACTCAGAAGACAGGAAATGACGTGTTTAAGCCCTACCCTTCCTTTAACAAATCAAATTCTCCCAGGAAGCTTTTGATTCCTCTTTTTGAGACAGGGTCTCCCTCTAGTCCCAGCTGTCTTAGAACTCACTATGTAGACCAGGCTGGCCTTGAACTCAGATCCACCCGCCTCTGCCTCCCAAGTGCTAGGACTAAAGGCATGCACTACCAGGCCCAGCTGAAATTTGATCTTTCACTGCTAATTTCCTTAATCCCATTTTCATTTAGCCAAAACATGCAGCGGAAGAATTTTTTTATCCTTTGGGATTCTCTAGGTGTCTCTTTACCCTTGTCCTTTAACTGTTGCCAAGGTCAATGATACCTTTGTCTGCCGTCAGTCTTTTGGGAAGTGTCTAGACACTTCTGTATTTTAGGAATTTCCCATCTAGTGCACCTGCTTCATGCCTTTCTCCGTGAAGGCCAAAACATCAGATCCTAAATTTCCCACCCTCCTTTGCAGCTGGGATCCCAACTTTGAATCAGAAGCTAAGGCTCAAGGAAGAGAGGGTGGCACAGAATTTGTTCTGGTGGTGTTGGATACCAACACTCACTTTCCAAGGACTGTATTCAGTGGCGCAGCTGGTGCTGCAAATGGGACTCTCTGCGTTCCATTGCAGTGGCTCTGTTGCTTCACCAGGCAGCTTTTATGGTATGATTTTGGCTGTGACTGGGAAACATGAATTGCCACCTTCCACATTGTCACTCAGTGTAGTTATAATTATAGTCAAGGTCTCTGTAGCTTACAACTAAGAATCTCACTGCTGTGGTGACCCTGTGGTCCCTATGGTGGGCTCTTATTTTGACTCTGTCCCAAGTGTCTGCCCTTAGGTAAATCAGTTAAATACTCAGATTCTTCATTTTCTAAAAATGCTGGTGCTTTGGTATCTATTACTCTGTGTCTGCTGATGGGGTTCCTGCTGATTTCACTGGCTTCCAGCCCAAGGCAGGCAGCATCAGAGTCCTGCTCACAGCAGCAGTGTGGTGGCCTGGTTCTTGAACCTGTATTTATCCCCATTGGTTAGTGTGGTTTACTGGTACTTCTGCTGCTGCATCTTGGCAGGTGCAAAGCTGTTCTTTGTTCTCTGTTTAACATCTCATTGAAGGGAGAAAAACGCTTCAGGTACCAGTAAGTTTCATGGTTTCCGTAGTAATGTTGATTCAGGCGAAAACTCCTTAGTGGAGAGTTGAGAAGTCATAAATTATAGAAATTACATTTTAATGCAGTACTATTGCCTAGGAGATTCAAGATTTAAAGAGATCAACCCTTTTGCAGCTTTTAATGTGGATCATCAGAGCCACTAATGTGAATGAGACTTTTTATTTTTTTTTTGGTCTTTTTGAGACAGGGTCTCCCTGTAGCCCCAGCTCTCCTGGAACTCACTATGTAGACCAGACTGGCCTTGAGCTCACAGAGATCCGTCTAAAGGCATGCGCCACCACACCCGACCCATGAATGAAGCTTTTCGGGAACAATAACAGCAAATGTGTTGTCAGAGCCATCTCTTTGTAGGGTAATAGCTAATGACTCTGAAATTGTCTTGATTGAAAATAAAAAGGAGAGGGAGAGGAGATTGTCATGTGCATTTAAACTTCACTTAAATGGAATGAGCCCTGCGGCTTTAATCTGTGTTAAAATAAAGTCAACATTAATTTTACCTCTTTCCAGCTCTCTTGAGTACAGAGATGATTTCCTTTTGGTTTTGCTTGGTGGCATTTTGGTGTAGGTACACTGGTGTCAGAAGAAGCATAGTCCATGGGTTCCCAGTGAAAGTGGTTGGTTTTAGAGTTTCCTTTAGTGTGTCTTCTAGGAGAAAATATGGGCAAGTTTTATTAATCAGTCATTCAAATTTGGTTTTGATGAATATTTATTGAATGCTAGGGACCCTCATGTTAGACATGTTAGGGACCCTCACCGTGTGTCACTGGGGAGGGCTTTACCATGTGCCTGCACTATACCACTTGCTATGAGTTAGAATAAAGTATTCGATTTAGCTAGGAACATACTTTTAATTGGTATATGTGGAACAACTCTAAAATGAGTAATAGCTAAATGGTGCAATACTAACTATATAAAGGAAGTCTAGTGTAGACATAGGAGTGGATGGGAGCTGGCAGGATAAAGATGGTACCCAGAAGAGGGCAAAAAGAAGTAGGACAGGAACCATTCATCCTAAGTGTTGTATCATGAGAGCCAGAAGGAAGGATGAATGTGGCCTGCAGGGAAGGGTGAGGAGGATGGAGCTGGGGGCAAGTGTGTGAGGCTGGTCTCTGTGTGCATGGGCCTCAGGTGATGCTGGATTCAAGGTTTAAAGAACTCATACTTGAGCGAGTCCATACACGTTTCTAAAGCACTTTAGAAAAGATCATTTTGTCTATCAACCTTCATTCTCCTGTTTTCTTTTTCTTCAGACACCCTGGAGCCCACTTACCAGCAGCTTCAGAAAATGAAACTGGACAAGAGTCCCTTTGTGGTCGTGTCTGTGGTTGGGCAGGAACTCCTGACGGCTGGCCATCACGGGGCATCTGTGGTTGTCTTAGAAGCTGCTCTGAAGATTGGCACCTGCAGCCTCAAACTGAGAGGCTCTGTTTTCTCTGCCTTGAGCAGTGCGTACTGGTCTCTGGGAAACACAGAGAAGAGCACTGGATACATGCAGCAGGACTTGGATGTAGCCAAGACCTTAGGTAGAGTCACGTTTGCTTCTCCTCCTTTTCAGCAGCATAGCCTGCCAGGAATGGGAGTGGCACATGCCGGAGATTGGGTGGCCCACTGAGATGGCCCATGGAACATTCTGTCTTGGAGCCCTCAGGTCTCTGGGATTTTCATACAAGGTTCCAGCACTTTGGATTATCTTATTCGTCACGTTCCTCGGCGTTTTTGGGCTCACAAATTTAATACGGGTGGCTCATCTTCATCTGAATTTTGACCTCCATGAGAATTCATTATTTTGCAAAGGAGATGACAGAGTGCTGAGGTTAAGAACATGCATCATGGAGCCAGACAACCCTTGGAGTGGCCCTGCCACTACTAGCTGTGGGACTTGGGTGGGGGGGTGTTGTCTGTGGCTGTTTTGGAGAAGACAAGACCTCACTGTGTAGCCCGGTTTGGCCTTTAACTTGTGAGCCTCCTGCCTGCTGGCTGCGATTATAGACACGTGCCAACCATGCCCAGTTCCGCTGTGTGAATTCAGATGTGCTTCCTAATCTGTCTCAGTTTTCTCCTCTAAAATATAAGCATGGGGGGCTGCAGAGAAGGCTCGTTGGGTAAGAGCACTGACTGCTCTTGCAGAGGACCTTGATTTGATTCCCAGCACCCACATGGCGACTAACAACCATACATAACTCCAGTTGCAGGGGATCCAATGCCCTCTTCTGATCTCCACGGGCATTGTATGATGCGGGTGCATTTACACACGTGCAGGCAATACACCCATACACATAAAATTTTTTAAAGAGCATAGTGTGTGATTATGGCCATCACTGTAGTGATTATTCAAGGACTTACAGGATTACAGAAAGGAGGGGATAAGGGAAATCACCTCAGTGTACTTGTAAAGATGTCATATATTATGGGAGGCCTGGAATCAAATGGCTGAACCAGCAAGCTGATAATTGCTCAGAAGCAAAGGTCATCCGCAGAGCATGGGGGAAGACTGGCAGCAGCTGGTTTCCATCAAGGTCTTTAACCTTTCCCTCCTAGGACACCTATGCCCCTGACTGTAGTTGCATGTTACAACAATAATAACACTTGTCTGGAGATGTAAGTTCTCGGATCTTAACTCCCACATAGGCTTGTGGAGGAACCAAATGCTTTTCTAAAAGAAAGTACATAAAATCCTAGCTAGTAAATCTGTGGCTCTTAAATTGAGAGAGCCATTCTAGGTTATAAATAATACTATAACTCAGAGAATATTTTTTTCTTAAATCTAATTCAGGTGACCAGACAGGAGAATGCCGAGCTCATGGGAATCTAGGCTCTGCATTCTTCTCCAAAGGAAATTACCGAGAGGCTCTGACGAACCACAGGCATCAGTTGGTGCTTGCCATGAAGCTCAAGGATCGGGAGGTAGGAAATTTACCTGGAAACCAAACTGCATCTTCTGCAGCACAGCCTTTTTATCTGTGCAGAAAGTGTTTAGGATGCTTTAAAATTTTACCTCAGACGTCGATGATTATCGATTCTTTCATCGATGATTGGGTATTGGATGTCTGTTGCATAGGCCTTGGGTATGTACAGATTTAAAAAAAAAAAAAAAAAAAGGAGGCCTTATCCCTGACCTCAACAGCCTGCTCAGGTGCATTGTTGTAATTCTCTTCAAGTGTGCCAGGAACTACACAGACAAATTAGCAGGAGCCCGTGTGTGACGACATGAGCTTTGAACATGCTTGACTTGTGATGGAGTACCATCATGTTTCTTTGGTGAGTTTTGACACATGTGAGAGAAGCATGTTGGGTTAGATGAAAGACCTGAACGGTCATGGCAAAGAAAGACTGCTAGTGTTCATTAGCAAAGTGGAGTGTAACTTCCTTGAAAAGTTGATATCCAGTAAATGCTATGGTGAGAAAGTTCCTGCCCGTTGTCATTTCATGGGAAGAGGGTGGGGCTGGCACTCAGGCAGACCAGCTTTGATCCCCCAGTGCTTCCTGATGTTTGAAATCCTCCTCTTTTCCTATTCTCCCACTTAGGAAACGATGACCGCTCTTCACTTGAGAGCGTTTTATTGCATTTGTAGTTGTGGTAGAGTTATGTATACATACATAAACGAATATAATATATCAGGGCCGGGTTAATCCCAGCACTCCAGAGGCAGAGGCAAGGTGGATCTCTGTAAGATTAAGGCCAGCCTGGTCCACGTAGTAAGTTCTAGCCAGCTGGGGCTACAGGGAGACCCTGTCTCAGAAGGCAATGGCAGGTGGGAAGAATATAATGTGCAGAGTGCCTAGTGTGATGCCTGGAATTCCATAATGGCATTTCATAAAGAAGTTTCACAAACTGTAGCTTTTATTATCTTAATAGAGGAGAGAGGGCTAATAGCAGAGGCAACAATAAACTTGTGAATCAAAGCACATTTAGTTTCATTTACATTTTAGAATTTTATCATGGAACATTATTACATTTAATTATATTATTGAACTGATTGAGCAACTCCAGGTTTTAGAGCATGGTCCAGATACTGATACAATATTAGAAGAAACTAGAGATTTGAAAATGGTCTTTGAGAATCAGCTGGGTATGGTGAGAACCTGTAGTCCCAGCCACTTGGCAGGATGAGGCAGGAGGACAGCTTGAGCCAGGACTGAGACCAGCCTGGGCAGCAGTGAAACCCTGTGTCAAAAAGGAAGGAAAGGGGCCAACAAGAGGACTCAACTGGAAAAGGCATCTGCTGCCAAGCCTGACAACCTGAGTTTCGTCCCCAAGTCCCACGTGGTAGAAGGAGGGAACCAACTCCCGGAAGTTGTCCTCAGACCTCCACACATATACATGCATCCATATACACAAACATGCATAGACACACAAACCAATAAATAAATATAATAGCAAAAATATTTTTAAAAGGAAAGAAAGTCTGGGTATGTTGATGAACACCTATAATCCCAGCATTTGAAAGACTGAGACTGGAGGATTGCTACAAGTTCTAGTCCAGTCTGGGCTACATAGTAAGACTTTATTTAACCAAAAAAAAGGAAGTAAAGGTGAAAGGGAAGGATCAAAACTGAAATTTCATTTTCTTGGACAGTTGCTGGAGCATACTCCTCACTGCTCATTGCACTCAGGCGATCACTTCGTTTACTTATTTATTATATTTATTCCTTTATTTTCTTGCTGTGTGATCTATCCCTGGATGGCCTAGAACTCTCTGTGCAGACAAGGCTGGCTTTGATCTTATCATAATCCTCTTTCCTCATCCTCCCCAGTGCTGGGATCACAGATGTGGTATACCACGCCAGCAGATGACTTGGGGAGACAGATACACTGATGACATTAAGAAGTGAGAGCCCGAGGATGCATGCTTTTAATCCCAGCACTCGGGAAGCAGAAGGAAGCAGATCTCTGTGTTTGAGGCCAGCCTGGTCTACATAATGAGTTCCAGACCAGCCAGGGCTGCGTAGTGAGGCCTTGCCTCAAAAACCAAAACAAACAAGCAAACAAAGTGAGAGAGGGTGATGTGGTGAAGGGACAGATAACTACAAATATACTAAGGCATTTACACTTTTTCCCCAATTGTGAGGTGTCTGCGTCAGTCCAGTTTTGGCAGGGTGGAAAGACAACTAATGAGGGTCGTAGTCACTTTGTAGACACTGAAAAGGAGGAAGGGACTTTTTCTGCCCTCTCTATTCTCCACAGTGTGATTTTTTTCTATTAGCTGTTTTCTAGGTTTCATGAGCTACCATTGTACAACACATTCTTTGGAAATGGTTGCCTTTTAAGGCTAGAGGGGACCCTGAGGGGACAACGGATCCTTGCTTCCTCTCTCCAACTTTCTCACCTTGCCGTTGGCACCCACACAGGCACCTGTCACCCCGGCATCATCACCGTTACAGTAGCTCTGAGACTGCGTACTGGGGAGTCCACAATCCACCCTGCATGTGGAGAAGAGAGAACCAGGCTGGCTTTAGACATGGTTCTGTCTTCACCTGGGAGGGCAGCAAATATTTAGCTGCCATGCTTTCTAAGCTCTTCTCCCTCCCCCTTGTGTTGGTTACAAGCCTTCTACTTTTATTCTTTTGAAGAATGTGTAAGCTATTCTGCCCCCACCAACATCCTTTAAAATCATTTTGTTATATTTTAGAGAACTTGATCATCTATTGAAATTTTATTAAATTTCCGTGCTGTGGATGAATTATGACTTTATACTAGGGAGTCCTTCATTCAGGAGCCTGTCTCGTCCCTGCATTTATTCTTTCATGTTCCCTCGTTAACATTCACTGGAGGTAGTTTTTCCTATTTATTTGTTATGTTTCAGAGGGTGTGGTGCACTTTCCACTGTGCTTTGTGAAGCAACATTTGATGGTTATAGGAAGTGTTTACCTTGCATGTTTCCAATTCACCATATGAAATTTCTCTCAGTAATTTTATAAGATCATAACTTTCGTTGATTCTTTGAATTTTCTTGTAATGCAAATTGTCTCCAAGAAATGACCATTTGTACGTATGGCAAAGGAAACGTTTTTCACACTGATCAGAACTTTCAGAGCTCTCTGAAACAGCCACACTCTCTTCAGTGTAAGAAGTTCAGTGTTCTTTGTTTTTTAAATTTTCTGTTGTGTATGTTTATTGTACATGGTACTACTGAGTTATGGAAGGAACTTTTCATGTATCTTGTGCTTTGAGACTATCCTCCTACCTCCCACCCTTCCTTTAGCACCTCTCCCCTCCTGCTGGTTCCCTAGACAGTTTTGTTTCTATTTTCATGTCCTGTATACATCCATGATTTATATATCTGTGTAAAATCTAAGAATGACATAAGGGAGTAGACCCCTGATGTAGTCTTTCTGAGACTGTTTTAATTCACTTCATAGGATTATCTCCACTTGAATCCATTTTTCTGAAAATGACGTAGCCTTATTCATGGCTGAAAAAATCCATTGTATGCATGCACCACACTATTTCTGTTGCCGTCTCCCAGGTTGGTTGATAACTTGGCTGTTGTTAAAGTGTACTTCTTAATGTAGCATTGTCGTTGTTGCCTTTAGTTGTGCCTTATATGTCCTAGTGTGTTATTTTATATTGAAATAAAATGCCCTTTGAAGCAAAGTCACCACCTATACATACTAGGAGTGGTGAGGGTAACACACTGCATCTTTCTTTCTCCTGCATCTTGGGCTCTAATAAATTTTAGGACTTTACCAGCAGCAAGATAGCAACCTCGAACTCATTTATTTGCTTGCTTTTAAAAGCAATAAGGCTTTCTTTATGCAATTACTCTCAGATACTTAATAGGGGAGGTGATACCTTCTCCACAGGATTTTTCATTCAGAGTAACCTTCTGTCTCCTTTAATGGTTTCAAAATTAATTTCAGGTGCCCACAGAGACCTTCCTGTGAGCGAATATTAATTGTCAGGAGAGTCCATAAATTACATTGTATTAAAAATGTTCTCTATTCAGAAAATCTGATAGGCAAATATGCTGATGACTCCAAAGATCTTACGAGTCCTGTTTCCCTCCTGAGCTTCATATTTCTCTACCCAGCGGCCTCCAGAACTCCCTTTGGCTCAGTGCACCTGCCTCATCCTCATCCTCATCCTCATCCTCATCCCTCTGCCCTCTGCTCTCTGCCTCTGTCCTCTATCATCAATTCTGCCCTTTGCCCTCTGCTCTCTGCCCTCTGTTCTCTGCCCCCTGGCCCTGGCCCCCTCCCTCTGACCCTCAGTAGTCCACCATCCTCAGCCCTCTGTCCTTGGCCTCTGCCTGCTGCTGTACCACTGTCGTCCTGTGACCCTGGCCACCTCCTCCCCCCATGTGCTTGCCTGCTTGATGACTGGAATCTCTTGTTTTACCATAGCATCCAATCTCTGTGTCCTCCCTTCTGCTCTCCTGTAGTCTGGACTGTTGCAATAATCTACTGTCAGCCCCTTCATACTTTGAATAGAAATTCTACAAGTTGAGGAAGAGATTCCTGGATCTGTGAACACAGCCCCATGAGCACATAATTCTTTCCAAGACTGTGAAATGCTTGAGTGTAAATTTAGATATCCCACAGCCCTGGACTTGAATTTTGCCTCTGGCAGTTATTATTATGTGTCCGGGAAACAATGTAAGTCCTTTAAAAGGATCGGCGGACCCATGAGTTTTTTAAATTTTTGGCTTTTACACATTTTTATATGACTCTTGGTGAACACCAGCACTTGTTTCTGTTAGGTGTTTAGTTATATGTATGTTTGACTGTGGTAGATTTTTGCCAGTTATCTACAGTGGCTGTAACCAAGGTGCATCATCAGCAATATAAGGGATTCTTAAACTCTAACAAAAAAAAAAAGAAGTAAAAAGGCAAAGGAATAGAGGAGCACAAACATGCGAGCAAATAACTTGGGTGCTGTTACACATGTAGTTAATCTGCTTATC